TAGTCTACGCAGAGTCTCAACGTGCCGTCCTTTTCCTTGATGAACAGTACAGGTGAAGCCGCAGAGGAGGTGGAGGGACTAATGAAACCTTTGTCCAGATTTTCATCGATCCATCCTTTCAGGGCCGCTAGCTCAGGCGGGGCCAGGTTGTATAGGGGGCCAAAGGGGGGTGTGAAGCCAGGCTTTAGGGCTATCTTGTGGTCAACCCCTGGTCGACTAGGCGGTAGTTTGGTTTGATTCTTTTCTAGAAACACAGGGAGGAAGTCGTGATATTCCAGGGGGACTATTTCCTTAACTTCTTGTTGTTCCAACACACTGTGATCGAGGGCGCGTTGGATGGCATAAGCCTTAAGGAAGTGGGGGATTTCATACTCAATTCCTTGGATGCCGGTTACATCCGCAGTGCAGTGTTTGAGACAGTTGTCAGATTCGAAGGTGACAGTATTGGAGGCAAAGCAGATGGTAACATCGTGTTGTTTCAACCAAGGGATACCAAGGGTGAGGAGGTAACCACCGAGTTTGGTGATGAAGGTGGGGACAGATTCCAGGTGGTCATTTATTTTGCGGTCGAAGTGGGCAATGTGGGTAATTGCCCACGAGCTAATGGGTCTCCCATCGATGACAGAGAGGTGTACGGGGGCTTTGAGTTGAGACAAGGGGAGGTGATGACCGGTAGCAAAGTCTTTATCCATGAAAGCATATCCAGTTGCTCCGGAGTCGATGAGGGCGTGGGCTTGGATTACATGTTGGCTGTCTATGATGTCACAGGCGACTACCAAGTGGTTATCCTCAATTCCATTTTCCATTTCGTCTAAAGATAAACTTGAAATAACTAAACTAGGAGAAGACTTAACATGTCCCATGTTAGTGCCGGGGGCTGCACATGGGACCCCTAGTTTTCCGACTCTTCTTGGGCAGGGAGGGGTTCCCCAGGAGCAGGCACAGTGTATTTACTGGCTCCGTGCATGGGGCGGGGTCCGTTGTTAGGACAAGCGCGAGCCATGTGTCCATGTCCCCCACAGTAGAGGCAGTGGCCACGATTGATTCGGTCTTGCCTTTCGGCCGTGGTGAGCGTCCGACGACCGGCGGATAGGTCCATCGAACCCGGGGCGGTGCCTGTGGCTGTGGAGGTGGAGGCCGGCGGGGCTGCGGGAGTGCGGGGTGCGGCGGGGGTAGAGGTTCACCATGAAGACGAGGAGGAGCCTTTCTTTTCTGTGGCACAGGCCCGGATGTTGTTATCGAGTTGCTTGAGGAGGGAGAGGTAGTCGTATAGGGTTTCCGGGACGGGGAAGACATGGACCAAGGCATCTTTTAGCTCCGTGCTAAGGCCTTGATAGAGGGAGGTACGTTTGGCGACATCATTCCAGTGGGTGTCGACCGCCAGACGTTGGAAATCTGCAAGGTATTCCACGAAAGACCGGTTCTCTTGCTGGAGGCTCCTCAGGGCGCGTTTGGCGGTTTGGACCCTGTTGGGGTCATCGAAGGCTTGTTCCAGTTCGGCGTAGAAGCTATCCAAGTCCTCAAAGTCGATGCGGTCGGGTAAGACCCAATGCTGGATCTGAATGAAGGCGCGTCCACGGAGGAGGCCAATAGCGTAGCCGAGACGGTGTTGTATGCTGGTGAACCGGTGGGCGTCACCCTGGAGTTTCATTCGTAGCTGGGTGAGAAAGGGTCGGAGTTTATCGGTAGTACCCTCGAAATGTTCGGGGTCCGGGATCGAGACTTGTTTGTTGCCGCCAGCAGGGGCGGCGGCACCGGGGGTGGGCATGAGAGCAAGGGCGGTATTCAAGGACATGATGGTGGCATTGGTCTGCGTGATTTGGTTTTCGACGATAACGAGACGGGCCTCGAGGCCTTGGCCTTCTCTACGGGCATCGTCTCGTTCTTGGGTGAGGGTGACGCAGTATTGTTGTAGCTGTAGGTACTGGGGCGTCTGTTCAGGGGGGACGGGAGTGGCGTGGCGAGGGGGAGGAGCAGGTGCATTCAGGATTTGACGAGCCAGGTTTCTGGCAAGGTTGAACTGGGCCTGGAGCTGATCATAGTCTAGGCTTTGTGCATGGTCATCCCCCAGGTTCACGAGGGTATGAAGGGGACCATTGATGTTATCAGGGAGGTGGGACGTAGCCATGGCGTGGTGTGGGTTGGGTCCTAGTAGACGCAATCTTGTGTAATGGACAAGGTCTGAGGGTCGGGTAGCCCAAGGCACACCACGATAGGAGCGCGCGAGAGTCTGGAGACGAGGCCTAGGAACGGGCGGACAACCGAAGCGAGTTGTACAAGGCTCGCGGGGTCAAGGGTTCAGGGTCAGGGTTCAGAGGTTCAGGAGGATGCGAAGTAGAACAGAGTGTAATTCCTAGGTACAGGCGTCCGAAGGAGATTACCAGATTGCGTAAAGAATGTAAAATATAAGGGGGCACACCCCCTTATATAGCAAAGAAATCCTACATGATAACTAATACAAAAGAAGATCCTTGGCGTTGTGCGCAGCTGCAATCCTTCTATCAGTTTCTGCTACATTCCGTCGCGCGGCAGCGCATTCTAATCACATGTACCAAAGAAATCCAACTATGCAACCAAGGAAACCAATACCAACATAGGCAACGAAAGCCCATGCATATTCCATCTCCATGGCCGGGTGGCCGTGACAGAGACCGAGACTGCATACAACACGGCAGCCAACAGCCCACTCATCCACCCCCCTGAGCAACTTAAACTCAGGAAGGCCGGCATAGAATGTCCAGGCCAAAGGAAACAGGCCCAGACCAGCATCATCATGACGACCAGCCTCAGAAGAGTCGCAACCGTAGAGAGTAAGCACCAGGCAGGCTAAGCAAGCCGAGGAATACCACACTTGCAATGTCTGTGATCGCCAAGACCGCTAAAGCCCAATATAGCTATTGCCCAGGCCACCACGCGAGGAGACCCAGCAGCCAATCGCCCACCACCACTACAATCCTAACCATAGAAGTCAAGAGAGGGGGCGTAACCACCATGGTCAAAGGCATCCCCACCCACGTTAGGCAAGGAGGTAGACCCCACAACCACCCGTAAAAGCCACATGAATGGAAAACATCATGGAAACAGGAGGAGACAACATCATAGGACTCCGACCAAGGAATGTAGCCCACAATCAGGTATCCCAACCCATAGTAACAGGTACAACCCAACCGTAAAAGTGTGATGCGATTGGTACGACGAGTTAAAGGTACAGAGAGGTCATTAATCAACTCTGTAGGCATTAGTATCACTGGAAACAACACGTGAAACAACCAAAGGCTGGGCCTTAGAACTCCAATACGAAGTATGGAGGCGCCCGATCCTCTCAGCGCCAGGGTGATCCCCCGACAACAACCACTCCCAACCAACTCAATAAATGTGAAATCCTGCGAGGTAACGAGTACAGGAAAGCCGAAACATTTTACCGAAGAGCAGACTCATCAAGCAAGAAAGAGGACCCCCCAGCCCACACAGCCTCACGATAGAGATGAGCCAAGGGGTGGTGAGATGAGTACCACACTCAAACCAACACCAAACAACAACTCCACCAACATCAACTTCAACCAGCAGGGCTACTAGGTAAACCCAGATGACTCCCCTACAAGTATCAGAAGAAAGGCTTCATCGTTGCCATACGGGAATGAAACAAAGGGTATCCAAAGGAGATTACCAGATTGCATAAAGAACATAAAGTTTAAGTGGGCACATCCTCTTATATAGAAGAAACTCCTACCTGATCACTAATACAAAAGAAAACCCTTGGCATCACGAGCAGCCATGATATCTCCACCATGTTCCACTGAGTTCCATCGCAGAGCAATGTGTTCCAATCACAGTACAAAGGAAATCCTTCCCATAACAACCGAGAAACCCACCACCAATAAATGAGCTGAAGCCCCCATGCATATTCTGTCTCCATGGTGGGGTGGCCGTAACATTACCTTCACTTTCCTATTACACCACCAAACCCTCTCTTAGCAAGCTCTGGGCTGCTGCTCTCTGGCAGAATAGGACTTTACTCCTATTGTACCTGACAGCGTAACTAGTGCCCTGGCAGGAACATGTTACAACTACCAGAAGTTTAATATATTAAACAGAAACTTAATATCAGATAATAACTTATATTATAATTTAGTACCCTGAGAATTCAGATCTAAAGTTCTTACAGTTGTACAAAAATTCACCGCTGCGGCATTCCCTATTGCATCAACCTTAGTGCTATATCTAAGCAGTATGTACCATACTTGATTCTCTCCAGCAATGCCAGATATAGAGGCTAAATCCGCATTCACAATGCCCACGCCTTCTCTCTTGATCTACTTCAATCCTACAGCACAATCCTATAGTACCTACTGGCATCAGAATAGCCACCACTATATACTGCCAACACTCCCAATATGCCTGACCCTCCAATTCACTTGTCTAAAATGTCCTCATCTAGATGATCTCAGTGTTCCTACGGATCTAGTCTATCCATCCTTGGCTTCTTACAGGACAGAGGCAGGTTTCTAGAACTCTGCCATGGATGAATGCCCATCCTCTGGTCTGTCCTAACCTCTACCCAGCACGGCCGGCCGGGTCCTCTAGGTGTCTCACCTTCAAATGGCCCGGCAGATGATAGCCGGGCCCTACAAAGGACGGTTGGGAACACTAGATGATCTCATGAAATCCCAAGTTGATATCCACCTACAAGAGCCAGTGGTAGACTGGAATATGGATATTATCCAATGGTTGAAACTCCTGGGAAAGTGGCTACCAAATCTTGTGTAAATAGCACGGGATTGTCTTTTGACTAACACTCTTGTGAAGTATTGCATCAGAGCAAGCATTTTCGGTTGCGGGCAATATTGCTTCAAAAACAATTGACGTAACAATTTTCCCCCATGTCAAGACGTTAGGGACTAAAATTAAAATTAAGAAATTAGAAGTATTTAAGACTAATTACGACCGAAGATCAAGAAATCACAAAAGGAACGATACAGAGTAAGATTCAAAACCACCGCTCACGAATCCACCATATCCCTCAACATCGACTCACTATACCTCTCATCATCTGCGATCCTCACCATCACTTGCCCATGTGCATTAATTCTCCCCTCAACATCCCCCTCGGCCCAGACTTCCGATTTTGCGCTTGCAAGGCCAGAATCGTAGAATGGTAGGGTACTAAAGTCCTCTTCCGAGTATGAGGCGATCTTGGTCAGCACCACCTTCAATATTGTTCCACCCGCAGGCTTCAAGGCTTTTTTTGTCGCGGCACACTCCTTCATTATACGCCCCATAAGTTTCCTTGATTCAACATCGCCGAAGACCGCTTTCAAACCAGTTTCCAGTTTAGCGAGGACCTGTGTGCGGAGGTGCGTTCGCCGGTTGCCCAGGCGAATAACCTTTTGCCCCATCCATTGAGTGACGCCGATTGGCACTACCCCTGCCACAAGGACACCAAGAGTTTCAACGAGGAAATCGAGGTCACTGGCTGATGTGCCCTCGATTTTAGGGGCGTTAGGGACAAGGGAAAAAAGGTAATCGACCTTTTGCAACTGTTTCAGTATGTCGTCTGTGGCGATGACATCGGGCCATGGGGCAGAGGCAGAGAACTGAGCAATTTCGAGTTCGAGCTCGTACATTATTGAGAGGCAGATGGCCTTATAAATCTAAGTGCCTGTTAGTAAACGTACTTAATATTGAAAGGAATAACGAGACCCACTCCTGCATGGTTAGATACCTCCCCGGCCACGTTCACCACCGGTCTTTTCTCCACATCTTGTTGCTCCGGTTCCGCGACCAGAGTTCCTCCAACATAGTTCCAAAACAGCCTTGCACGTTTTTTGAATGGTAATGCAGCAATCAGGAGGTACGCGCCAAGCCCCGATGGCCGCGAATCTTCAATTGTCCATCGACCAAAAGCCGTCACAATGCGGGTGCTCAGTGACAATCCATGACGGATGAATATCTTCCCGGCGACATTCTTCGTTGACCCTTCCAGACTCGGCGACACGGCAAATCTTCGCATCGGTAAGCTTTTGTTCAACAGTTGCACCACCCCCTTGGCATCACTATTCAACGCTGATTGAGGTTTTTTAAACAATTTCCCCTTGCAGGGTATCCACATATTCTCTGGCGCTATATCACCCATTACCTTGGCAATCATTCCTTTCTTCGTTGTTTCCCCGGGCCGCTGATCTGGGGTCCCGTCGAACGGTCTTGTGGGAAAGAGGACCGAGTTGGTCCATGTTGGATTGCTCGCCGCCGCTTCCGGGAAAAGGAACTGAGTTCCACCAGTAGCCAGGTAGGACACAACCTGGGGATCTAAGAGATCAAACGCTGTCCTCGTTCCGCGCTGGAAGTACTCAAAAGGATTTGCCAGCACAATAATTGATTTTCCCATGTAGTTATAGAATACGTGATCAGCATTCTCGGGGATGGTGCAGTTTGGATCCCGGAAATTTCCGTAAACGCTCATGTTCCAAATATCAAGTTGAAGACCCAAATCAGCGACGAGCCCGCATATCTGATGGATGACCTCCCGTTTGGTATCGGCATTGACAATGAGCAAGTAGTCAGCAGCTGGGTTGTAAGTATACTTCGCAGAAATTTGCATGTCAAGTGGGTAGTGCATGACCGAGCGCATCTGAGAATGTGCTGATTCCAATGGCGAAAATCGCCCCTCGTTATTCCCTGGCTCTGAAAGCACAAGTTCGAGTGTCATCGATCCTGTTGAATAAGGTTCAGCTTGATCCGACACTTTGAATGTTTGGCGAATAGTGACTGCAGTTCCAGGGTCCAATGTATCTAAAAGGTCCAAGCCCCGTGCATCTCCCACGCCCGACTCATCGACGAAGGCAAATATACGCGTGCCCCCGTTCTCGGAGAGACATGTACCCGCCCTTCGCCCGAGGGAGCCGCGAATTCCGTATGATTTCGTGCTAACATTTTTCAACTAAATGTGCAAACGTTAGTTCTCCATATGTGAGGGCATGTGGGTAAAAAAGTATATACCATCCATGAGAAGGTCACGTTACTGCCCCGCTCGACGGAGTTAAGAAATCTCGGAGCTTCAAGCTCTAATGGATATGAAATATTGATGGTCGTAGAGCCACAAAAGTCGGGAAGCACTCGATCAATTCCAGGCATAACGCCAATCAACTTCATCTCGTCTGTCGCCGAAAACTTTACTCCCATCCGGCGTGGAGCACGTTCCTGTTGAATAAAGGCACGCAGAACGCCGGGGACCTCAACAGTCTCGCCCGGTTGTATTCCAACAGGAAGATAAACAGGTTCAGGTATTGGATCAAGCCACATACTCCCATGGATAAGTACCGGAATCATGGAGCGTGTCGGTGTAGGCATACCGCCCGTATTTTGCACATAAATGCTCCGAACCAGAATATGCTCTCCCGGTTCGTTGATCCCATCGCCATTCTCATCAACTACTTCAAAGCCAGTTACTACGATATTGTACCGACTTGGATACGTTGCTTCCGTGCCATCAAGATTTGAAACGTGAATGTGTGCAGCGCCGCGAACACCTCCGGCACCTCCGCGAAGATATGAATGCGGTCGGGATCCAGGTGGGCCTTGATTGCCTTTGTTGCCCGGGGGGCGCGTATGCCGTGTGTATCTGCTTTGGCGGTTATGTCTACCGCAAGTACAATAACTCCCGCCACAACATGCATAATAGTAGCCCTCGAACTTTTCCCTAGAATTTAGTCTTATCAGCTTAGAAGTTCCCGGGTACAGTACTCGTTTGTCACCTACCAAGTGCAACCAACACCACCGTCACCACCCTCCCCGCCATCTCCAGGATTTCCATGAACTCCACTATCGCCCCCCTTACCCCCACTGATATCCCAATCGAGAGCAAGAAGAAGATTCGCGTCCTGCTCATTCACTCTTACGAATATAGTTCCTCCGTTTCCACCATCTGCTCCATCGGTTCCGTACCCACCTCTAATTGTCATAAATTATTAGGAATCAACCATCACTACAAAAAGTTGTCTGCGGGAAAATGGCTATTAACTCACTCTCCACCCCGTTGCCCCGGTCCTCCATTCTATTGCCAACCGGGTTAGAGAACAAGCGCGATTTGGTTGGGCGAACGATTTCAAACTTACAGTTGCATCGCGATGCTTAGTCGCATCCTGTCCTCTCGCTCCCTTGCCTCCATCTTGCCCATCTTCACCCTGCCCTCCATCGCCTCCATCACCCCCTTTTGCAGACAAAAACAAAGTCTTGTCCGTTGAGATCTCCCAGCGCGTTCCAACCCAGGCACCGGCCCCTTCAGCATGAACTCCATGGGGCATTGATTGTGAGGGGGTCAATTCTAATGCAACGCTTCCAGCGTTGGTTCCCGGTGTTGCCGCGCATGAGGAACGTCCACTTTGACCAACATGTCCGGGGGGGGCTATCCACCCTTTATTAGCTAAGATTTGGCAGTGCAGCTAGAGCAGGAAATAAACCAATGCGATTCCGGTGACCATATGTTTGATATCCGGGCTCTCCAGCCTGCCCATCCACCGACACGAGGATTCTCTCTCCGTATAGCATATTTCTTAATTTCCTCCCTACCAACGATGAGGACCTCTGCACAAACACTTGCAATTGACTCGACCTTGTGCTCCGAAAAAAAAAAATACCAGCTTGAACAAATGGACAGAAATTGTGAGGGCACAGTATGCGCAAAGGAGAGACTGAGGCCCTTGGAAGACCAGATACAGATTCCTACTTATAACGAGCGCGATCAAGAGCGTAGCCTGTTCTGGGGGCAAATATTCAAGTAGCCAATCAAATTAACTTATCAGCCTAGAGGCACAATGGCTTGAGAAAGTACCAGGATCTTTTACCAACACAACTTTTACTTTTTCCTAACCATCCACAAGCCCCCCAGCTTACCTATTTGGATCACCCGGAATCCGACGACCAAGCAGAGCCTCAGTAACGCCATGAAGGCCCATCCCCCTTCTGTCTGCCATCTCTTATATCACGGCTGCCCCGCGGGTATGTTCTCCCCTACTGTACGAGCACATTCGCTTCACCTCAACCTCAACGACAATGGCCATAGGAGATCAAGTTCCAGTTTCTTCACCTCCAATCAACCCTCCTCCTCAAGTTAGGGGTCCACCCCCCCAGACTATCCTCCCCTCTCCTGTGGGAAATCCCCAACACTATGGTCAAACCCAAGCCCCAAATGTTATTCTCCCCACAGCGCCGGCTCTCCAACAACCGCCATCCTACTCTCAAGACCAGGCGATGACAGCCAGCCCCAATGTCCAGGTACTCCTCCAGCCAACTGGCCCTGCGGACTTGGAAGCCTATCATGCCATTGCCACCGGAGAGACTCCAGCGAGGGCACCAGCGTCGATATTTGTCCAAAATCTCTATCGCACAACCCAGAATAATGTCTTCCCGGTGGCCGAGCGTATGTCACTTGGTGTTTCCTCTAATTCGCCATATTACGTTCTGGTAGCAACTCCCGCAACCAATAGTACCGACGAAGTCAACAAATTAACCTTGACACGCCGACATCCAACGCGGGGATCCTGGAGCGATGCTTGCACCGCTGAAATTCAACCGCGGCTGGTTCTCCAGGCAGGTGTATCCCTCGTGGCAATCATTCACATGCGAGGGCAAAATTACATGAGCAATACCGGGCAAGATAGGGTCGCTGACAGATTCGACTTAACATGGAATGGCGACCGTGGGGCTTTTGCAATATGGCGAAACGAAGGGCAAAACGTCACCATGCTATTCGAAGTCGTGAATGAAGGATTCACATCTCTTGATACCTATCCCACTACTGGTCTACTCAGGGTAAGTTTCCATCGCGCCTACACAATTCGTTCTAACCAAACCACAGGCCATTCCCCAAGACTATCCAGCCTCACAGGAGTTAGGTGTTCTAAACTTTACAGCGGGTAGCGGCCAATTGATCATCTCACATCCAAGCGGTTATGCTCTCAGCGATGTTGTCGCAGCCGCAGTCCTCACTGTCGCCACGGTAGAAACCCGAAAATCCAAAATCGTGCAAGAAGTGCCCCAGCAACAACAGCAACAGCAACAGCAGCAACAACAAGCCGCCGGCGGTAGCTATGCGGATCAGTGGCAGTTCAAACCCGGGTTTGCGCAAACCCAAGAGACGGACGAGTGGTGGTGGGTGGCGCTGGTGGTATTAGGTTGGGCCTTGTATATCTTGTTGTGGGTAGCCATAATCGCAACAATTTTCTTCTTCGAGTTCATGATTGCTTTCTTCGCGATATGTGGGAATTATTATTATTATTAGTTTCTTTTCAAGTTCACCTATTTCCTGAATCCCATAATACCCAATGCAAAAGAACCCAGACCCAGGCACAATACTGGTACAAGTATGATACATTACCAGCGCGTGCTATCTCACAAGCTGCGGAAAAACTGATGCAGCCCCGGCCCTTCCCGGGACAAGTTAAAGAGCAACTTTTGCTACTCACCATCAGTGCTCGAGCGCAGTACAAGGACAGCTCCAGAGCTGTGCAAACCCCAGACCACAATCGCACCCACGCTCACTACCGTAAACTGGGTCGGTGGTGGCACATCTTGGCCTGACCACGTAGACCCCGAAATCATCCCCGAAGACTGAGTTGCTGAGGCAGTAGCGGTAATTCAGCCACCCCACCACCAGACGCCGACTGGGCAGCCACCATCTGGACAGTTCTAGACGGCGCTCCCCTTTTCAGCACCTCTCTCCCTCCTTCCCCCCCACGGAAACAGCCGTCATCTTGGGAGTGGCTGGTCCCAGTGGTAGCACATTAGATTCAAAGCGCCCGTAGTTACACGAAATATGTGGCGTCATATCCACACTTGTCTGTTGGTGAACAAAGCTGCACCGCTTGCAAAGGCGCACCAAAACTACCGGTATTGGTATTGGTCACACTAAGCGAAAGGAGAAGAAAATGTCCCAGCACTGTCGCATCTTCCTACAGCAAGAGGAAATTTCAACCCCTTTCCTTTCCCCTCTACGAGTGTTGGTCGCACTCGAGCACATGTACGAGTACTCGTACTATGCTTCCCTCAAAATAGGTCAAGCTAACTCTAACTTTAGACCTGCATCTTGTCTGGCCACTTTGATGGGAGCTCCAATGTCGTGAAGATAACGATCATCCGTCCCCAACACATAATAGTGTCCAGATTCCCAAAACATACAGTACAGTACCTCTATCGAAAATAGCGATGTGGAACGAAATTTACAAGCATGGCGGCCATCAGAGGATTCGGCGAGGGGACTTGAGTCTGCAATTGCCGCCCACTCAATAAATCAGAAAAGTACTGTCGGCAGGCTCGCACAGATTCCACCACACTATCGCCATTCGTTACTTTTTCCCGGCAGATATCGTCCGATCGGTGTCTGTTTATCCTCATTTTGGACGAGTACAGGACCAAGTATGAGTAATTCCAGAGACAAATCAGACAGCTAAGCTTTTGGTATGCAAGATAGACCAGCGTGGTGCCCGGGCTGGAAAGCAATCCCCGCAAGCTGGGCGCACGGTGCTTTACCTGGTAAGCAAGGCCAAGTGCAAGAAGAACTTATCCGTGGCGTTGAACTAGCACAGAGAGGCCCATGTTGGGGATATTGTGATGAACAGCTCCACACGGACAGACACTTTTGGGTTCGAGGCTGAGATAAATGCAGCGCAATAGTCGGAAATTATGACCGAACACCCAAAACGACTGTCTCTAGCAATCTCAATGAATGCTCTTGCGTCTCCGAGAATAAATTATCGGGGCAATCTTTTAAATACTGTACCAGCCAGTCTCAGATATTCCTATACAGTACTACCATCAAGGTTTCAGCCCTTCTGCGGAAATGGGTGGGAGCGGCACTCATCAGCTACAAGTACTCGAGTACTTTGTCGCTTAAAATTTGTCAGTAAAAATCCCGCCAAGATGTGTTGAGAAAATTCTTATTACCTAGTCTGGCACAATAAGAATCCTCTTTTATGTAAACTACATTTTTCTGCACATGTTGCATCTCTAGAAACTTCGAAAAAAAATTCAATAAATAGCCCTAGATCAGGTTAATTTTTAAAAGAAACATCTAGGATTTTTCTAACTTTCCAAGGTTGCATTTTCCTTCTTGGAAGTTGAAGTATTATTTACTTGGCACCGAGTGAAACCATGCTTTTGGCTGGCGTGAAAAAACATTGATGGTATTCTACAGGTACAAGTACAGGGAGAGTCGGGATTGGCTGGTATTTTGTAGGATTTCTCGACAATTATTCCCTTGGACGGCGGGAATGCTATAAAATTCGTAGCCAGGTCCCCTAATGCCAGACCTAGCAGCAGTTAATTGAACTTGACCAGTTAATCGGCTCTCAGAGCTTAAATGGCCCAGCACCTTGGGAGAGCGGAATTCTTCTCGCCAACCCCGCAGGTCCGGGGACGTCCCGGGACTGGCTAGCGCGCCTGGCGGTGAGTTTTATTGTCGACCCGCTGAGTACAGCATAGAACTCTCTTCTACTCAGGTGAATCATACCGCACGTACAATACGATACGAGCTCTACTTGTAGTACTGGCGAACGTGTACTAGTAGAGTACCGCACTCGTACTCTACATGTACTACCGGTAGTACAATACTCGATTACAATAAACATTAACCCCTCAATTCAGATCAAAACCACATGTACGGGTACTAGTACTCCGACTAAGGTATCGGCATGCATGCATGTGCAGTACGGTAGTACCTGGTACAGGCACCGTACGGTACACTGTACCAATACTACCACTACCAGTATTTGGGTACGGTACGGTAGTTCCTTTCAGCCGCAAAAAGCCGAGCTCGCGAAAGCCTAAAAGCCCCGCAGCCCGTAGTGGCGGAAACCACCCTGCTCTCAGACGCGGTGGAAGTGCGAATAAAAAGCAAAGAACGGCACAAGGTGTGCGATCCTTAACCCCTTTTCCAAAATGTGCGAGAGGGCGTATACCAGACACGTGTAATGTTGTACTCGAGTACTGGTACTAGTACTAGTACTGCTGAGATGTTCGGGATGCAGTCCATCCCAGTGTTCCGCAGATGTTGTGACGGATCTTGGTACATACGCTGTCTGGATCGTTGGGCGTAGGCACAGTCGGCTCGCATCCCTACCGTAATGTGCTCCAGTTTATTTCACAGGCATACCGTCTACTCACTGTTAGTCTGAACCTCTGCTCACGGGTGTAATGTAATGTACTAGTCCTTGTATGCACCATTTAGACCAACATCCATAGCGGTAAAATTTCGAGTGTCCCCAATTTTCGTATTTTGGGAGAGGCTTAGTAATGGTAGTTTCTGACTTGATATTATATCCTACACCTGTAATACACAACCTAGAATTTTCTACTAAAATCGAGTGACTACATATGATGGCCACTCTCCGACTCCGTTCAGCCCTTTCCTAAAAGAAGAGTTTGCCCGTGGGATACACATAGAGGCCTCAACCAGTCAAAATGTCGAACCGATCCTTCACACCCCCCCCTCCCCAATGGGCACTACGATCATCTCTATGAGCATTACTACTTGTGTAACTTATAGACTTTGGCAATTGGATGCTCGGATGTCTCGGTGGCCTAGCTGATGCATTCTCATACGAAATAGGAGGGTGGTTCTGGAGTGGGGATCGCCTGCACTGGGCTGACAGGAATCTCTGAGACCTCCTAGTCACCTGCGCTGGCACTGTACCCAGCTATAGTTGTACACCAGTAGGGTACATCTCTACCGATGCTCAGGCCACACTGTGATCGTATCCCGGTCGGTGGCCGTATATGGTGAGGGACTTCTGTAGCCGGAGCACTAAGCGATGTTCTTGAGGGCCAAAGTTAAAACCTAAAGGCTTTTCAACAACAACAGGAATAAAAAAAAATAGCTCTATTAAGTGATAGAGTAGCTCAATAGCTTCAAAATAATAGAGAGAAAATAAAAATATCTTTAGTCTTCATGGAGTTATTGGGGAAAATATGGAGGGACATTTTGGTGGAGAGTATTCAAATGTCCGGGGTATTGTGGGAAGGAAAACAATAAACGAGTGATATCCTGTGATTGACATATTGGGTTAGTGGAATTTATAAGACAAAATAAGGCATTTGGCCCGGCAACAAGTATCTGAGCGCCAGTGAAAAAAAGATTTCATATAAAGTAGCCGCAAGAAAAGATGCTATGTGTTATATCCTACTGGAACCAAGTTAAGTGGTTCTTCAGACAGGCTCTTTTTATAAAAACAGACTCAAGAATGCCAATAATATGAAGACAAAAATGGCACTTACACAATGCATGAATTCAGAAAGCGAAGCGGATAACTAGGAAGAAGGAAAGCAAGAAATTTGATGGAAAGTAATGGGATAGGGAAGTGGACCTGGGACTAGAGGACTCAGACAGAGGAAAGAGTAGAGAACTTGAAGAGTACGCGGAGGTACATTTCCTGGACTTTGATAGTGATGCTATCATAGAATCAGATGACGAGGAGGAGGAGTTTACTGACTGGGAGGAGAAAAAGATACCAATATTTAATACTAAGACTATAGATAGTGGTAGAGCTGGAAAGGATTTATTTGAAAGGATGCCAGTGAAGGGTATTGAGAGCTCTTTATTTGATGAAATTAAGATTTGCTAGACACGCGGAGTTGATCTTAGTGCTTGTCAGATACCTCGTAAATACCAAAACAATAGAGAACTCTGTCAGGCAGCTGTTGGCTGTATTCCACTTACAGCAACCTTTGTTCAGCCTAGATGCAGTTAGTCTTTACTAGGAACTTCTGAAGAATGCAATAAACTACCACAGGTTAGTTACTATCTCAATCCAATAATATAAGTAGTAGAAGTAACTAATACTGACATATGTAAGTAGCTACTACAATATATATCAGATAATGAAAGAAAACAACAGAATCTTGATTCAGTGATTAGAGATTTGAAGAAAAAGATTGATTTAAAGTGATGTCCATTACAAGGGCAAAATCTTGCTAGACATCAGGCAGTTTTGGCTTTTCTCTATATACAACAAGGAAGATGATCTGGGGAAACAAGAAATCAGTTATTATTGTTAGTAGTGCGCTGCTTCAATAGAGGCTGGTACTTTGCCCACAAGATTATAACTTGGGAGATTACCTGGGTAGGCCGGGATAGGGCAATTGAGGAAGGAAAGTGAGAATGCTTTGCAAAAGTGAAATCATGGTTGAATGATGAAGGAGTTCAATTAGCTGTATGAGAGTGAATAGCAGGGGCAGGAGAGCGTATGTATTCATTCAATCAAATATACTTAAAACTTAAGACTAATAATTTATAATTAGATATTACTACCCATGGACTAGCAAAGGCTGTGGG